TTGATTATCTTTATCGTTTCTTGGTGCATATCTTCATTTCAGTTTGCATGACCGGTTTCGTGTGCTGCTGTGGTGGGATGACATGTACAACAAGCTTCTATACGATCCCGTCATGCATTCTCTCAATCCGTGATCATCGCATGTCTATTGCATGTCGTGAAGCCAGTACGAAGAACAAGAACAAGTGAAATGCATACAAGGACACTGCATGACACGCACGACATTTGTGTCCCACAAAAGACATTACCACATTCATGACACCGACATATGACAGAGTCGTGAGAGTTGTCACACGCATCGCAAAAAGGCAAACAACAATCAACCGCCACGTGCTTCAAATCGTCCGATACAACGAGGAGCACCATGCATTGATAAAACAACCACGTGCGCTGAATGCAGAAATAAAAAGATTTAAAAAAAAAAAAAAAAGGTGCAAACCATTCATCCCGTGCTGGCGCTACTGGCCGCACACTAAACACCTACGCCACCGTCGAAGATTCAGCCGAATCCCTTCAGCGAACACACTAACCACCGAAACTACAGTGACACAATCGAACTGAATCAACCCGTGCTTATGCCACGGGTGTGCACAATGATGACGGAGGACTATGGCGAATCCTGGCGGCCCACACGCTAATCAGCTGCGCCACGCACGACACTCCAATCACACGACAGCCCGTCACGTCTCGCCACACGTACATGCGCCTTCGTTCTTAGAAGCGCTGTCTCCCCGCTCTCCCCCCGCACACCAGCCTGCCTTATGCTTCGTCTTTTCCTTCGCCTTTGATGTCATCATCGGCGGGGCCCGAACCCAACTAATCTAGACTCTTCGCATCCTTCGGCCCCTTGATGGTTGCGTCGTGCGCAAATCCGATGCCGCATGGTGCCCAATCAGGGATGTAGTCGGGGTACACTCCGAGCGTGACTTTCGCCTTCCCAAGCCACTCCGTGACGACGTTCGCGGCGCGGACGACGGATCGCCGATGATGGAAGGACCGATGCATGGAGGCGATTAGTGTCGGCCTGGCGACGAGATCCGCGAAGTAAAACGTTTCATAGTGACTGCGCGGATCGTCTCCAGCCATGCGCATAATCCACATGGACGCCGCCAAGAACAACTTGAAGCAGTCAGCCACCCGACATAGACGCTCGTAGGAGATGAAATCGCCGTCGATGTGAGCGCCCATTTGCACCGCCGCGCGAAACGAATACGGGATGTTGATGACGGTGGGCTCCTGGTACGCAGCCATGTCGTCGTCCTCACATCTGTCCCCGATATTCACGCCAACGTACAACAGTGGAAGGTCCATGTTAAGATCTATCGTGTGGGCGCAGATCGACGCGCTGACGATGTTGCGCCACTCCTCGCCGTACCACACTGCACGCGCAATGTCTGTCGCAACGGACTCCAACGAGTACTGGAACGCAAGGTTGTACCCCCTTGGTCGGTTCCCGGACTTAAAAACCCAGCCGTGCAAGATGCGCAGAGCTATATTCTCCACCGCAACCGCACGGGAGATCGCCTGCTGGAGCTGTGATTGGTCTGCGATCCTCTCCACCCTCGTGCTGGATTTGGGGATGAGAACGCTCCGCGGAAGTTGAGGTGGCGGAAGCCCGCTGGCGATGGCGACGAAGTCCTTTTTGGTTTCGTGGGCGATGTTGTAAAGTTTGCGTCCTTCACCCGTTGTCCAGAAACATTTGTCATACACCCAAAGAAGCGCACGGTCGATAAGTTCATTCGTCATTACTCCCCTGCGTGCCCGGCTTGAAGCGGCCTCGCCGCCATCGCGTTGGTTCATGTTCTGTCCACGACCCTCCTCTCTCACCGTCGCTGGAACTGCAGCCTCCTCTCTCGCCGCCAAAACGGGAGGGACAACACCTGCAACAGCCACACCCGCGCCATCTGCCGCCTCCCCTCCTACTGCACGCACGTCTGCCACGACTCCCCCACCACCAGCTCGTTGGCGAAACGCACGGTCACCACCGTCGTTGCGCTGACGCGGCTGAGACGGCATGCAGGGCAGTGCACCTGTGATCGGCCTTTCGTCGTCCGCAGCGCAAGCCGTGGACACCGCCGCTATGGTTGCTTGTGTCGCACTGCGTAGGCGACGTCTCTCCAAAGGCTCGGCGTCTTCGCCGCCAAGGTCCACCACAACACCCTTCTCTTTCCACGTTTCGTGGACATGCAGCTGCTGCGCCTTCGGCACCTTCGGCGGAGGGGTTGACATCCTCTTCGAAGCGCTCTGATCCGGAGTACGCTGCCTGACACTCTCCCGTCCTGTAGACGCCGTCGCCTCGCCTTGATCGTCCTCCGTCATGAAATCATCATCGTTATCCTCTTCCGCCGGCTGCGACCAACCTTGCGCACCACGATGCTGCACGCTTGCTGACGCATCATCCAAACGTAGCCTCTTCGCCTTCGGGACGTGTCGACGACCTTTCCCGTGGGCTTGGGTTTCGTCAAGCGCGACGTCGCGCTTCTTGCCACGGGCGTTCAATCGCACAGACATGCTTGTCGGGGATCCCCACAAGCGATCTCGGTGTAGCGCTCGACTGACGTGTGCTGTTTCGTCGAAAAAGATGTAACCCGTCTCTTGCCAGCCTGGCCAGACAGGCTATCCCGACGACGCTGAAGATGTGTCCTCCGCTGCAGGATGACGATGACGCCCAAGCGCACCACGGAAGGATGATGTCCCCGGCGACACCTATCCTTAGCGATGGTGGGAGTGCTCCGCGGCGAGAAGACTGACTGCCAGAAGAGCGGAAGCGATGACGGTGATAAGCGTTGTGGCACTGCAGATGCGCGGCGGGAACCTTGTAGCGCGCCTGGCGAGAAGCGTTGTGGCACTGCAGATGCGCGGCGGGAAGTGTGCACCTGGCACGGCGAGAAGCGTTGTGGAATCACCCTCGTGCGGACTACATTTATGCGGCTCCGAGCGCGCAGCACTGAAATGACACTAGGAGAAGGACCGTCCACGATGTCGCATCCTCTTGGCGGGAAAACGGAACGACGGCGGCGACACGTGCTACCGCCATGCCTGTCCAGGCCTGTCATTATCAACCTCCCGAAGCCGCGATAGGCCCTTCCACGTTCGGTCGATGCGCGCGAATGCACTCTGGAAGGACCAAAACCAAGACGGCCCGCCTTCACCCGCGGACACCCCACCGCGCGTCCCCCTCGCAGCAAACGACCCCTCTCGCCGCCCCCGATTGTCCGTCAACTACTTGGCATTGCTTCCGCGACAGCCATCCACGAGCATCGCCAATGGCAACATCATGAAATTTACAACCGAAAAAAATAAAAGAACTCCATGACGACGGCAAAGAACCAACTTTGATCAATACAGCACGTAATGGCCTACATGGCCGATTGACCACGGATGGCGGCAACGGTCTCCAACAGTGCTTGGCACATCATCCTCTGCGTCTCATCGGATGCCGCATAATGCGCTTTTTGGACGGCAACTTCCTGCTTCAATATGTCGCATTGCCTCGTGAAAATGCTGCATTGCCGCTTGCTAGACGATTCGATCGTCAACGACATCAATGCGCCATGGCGTTCCATGACATCAGAGACGGACTCGAATGACTGTTGACGCGCGTTCTTCCGCTTCCCGCCTCCCGCCCCGCTGCCTACGTTGCTGTCGGACTCCCTCGCAGAAGAACGCTCGTCAAGGCAGCCTTCACCGGCCGCCTTACTACAAACAGACTCCCCGCCACCCGCTCCTCGCATGGGCAGCTGCACCCCATCCGGACTGCCGGTGTCGGCAACATTGGGAGGGAAAATCGTGTGGTTTCCCACCATGCCTGCGTGGATCTCGTTGTACAGCGCCGTGTCCATCCGAAACTTGAAGTTGTGCTCCTTCTTCTCTTCGTTCATCTGCCTGAAAAAATCTGGCCGCCCGCTGGCATTCTGAAACCTCTGAATTTTCTTGTAGTTCTGGAACTGATTGTCCCACTTCTTCATGCAGTCGTCAGTATCCTTCGGCGTCCTCGCATTCGCCATCTGCTTCGACATGTCCTCCCACTTCCCCTCTTTCGTCTTCATCCGCCCGTAATTGTGAGACAAGGAGGCGAGGTGCATATCTTGCTCCCGTTTGCATCGCACCAGGAGCATTTGATCTTCTGCAGACCAGTACGTCGGAGACTTCCCGGCGTCGTGACTTACGCCACCTCTGCCTCCACGGCCAACGGATCGACCATGGACACCACCTCTACCGCGTCCTTTCCCCCTCCCAGTCGTCTTCCCCAAAGGCCGAATTGGAACGTCGTCGTCGTCGTCCCCCGCTTCCACGTCTTCCCTCATCCCTTCGTCTGCGTCGTCACCGAAGCCAACGTGGTCTTCGCCTCCATCGCTGTGTGCCCGCATGTTCGACACTCCACGTGTTATGTTCTCCACAGTGGGTCATGGACGTACCGGCGCTCTGCACGTTCCCTCGTCCCTCACTCCGGATTCGACCGGTGTTGTGCACGCAGGCATCAGCGAACGTGCACCGCCCATGCGCAGGGGCCCTGCTGCCACCCCGAGGGGTGCGGGCCAAGTCGGTGTCAATCGATCGATGGACAGAGCAGTCGATCCATGCTGCCGTCCCGCTGGCGATGGCCCGACCGCGCCAGTCACGGGTGCAGCGCGAAGAAGTGTGGACTGCTCCGTATGCAGACTTCCACTATGCTCAACGCCACGTGCCGAACGATCTCCGTCGATGATGAACGTACGACTCGCCTCCCTGCCGCCGCCAGAACACAACTCGAACCTCAGATCAACTCCTCCGCCGTCGTCGTCCCGCAAGCCTTGATGGAGCAATGACGTGAATTCGCCCCCTTCGTCGGGAGCCGACCCGCCTGCTCCCACCGTCTGCGACCACAACTGCGTCGAGCCGCTAGCGAGGGGCAACGTCGAAAGTTCTTCCTTCTCCGGCTCCTCGTCCGACGGGGGCAATGGCGTGTCCCACGACTCCAGATGCGTGTACATGGACGGGTCGTACCGCCTTCGAGGCTCCGCCGCAGAAGATCGAACTCCTCCCTAACCTGCGGCAGCAGCCGGTCGTGCCTGCATGCCCGCCATTAGACGTTCGCCTGCCGCCCGTCTCGTCGAAGCCCTCCTCTTGCATTGGTGTTTCCACGGCCGCCACGAAAAACACACGTAGAGGAAGACGACAAACAGGAAGAGGACGACAGCGAGTACCAGCAGAGGCAATCTCCTCCGCACGTCAGCCATGAAATTCACCTCTGCAGCCGCCCTCGCACGTGACCACTGCGGATGTGTGTTCCAACATGCCCGCGACAGGGGCGCTCGACCTTCATATGCGGACAACCACCACAGAAGACGACGAACACGCCCGCCTTCCTTTTGAAATTCGACCGTTGCAGTGCGCGCTGCCCGAAGCGGCTCCGTCTGTCGTCCTGCGCACGTCAACGTCCCACTCCGCATCTCGCAAGCGACCAAACGGTCCAGTACGGGCAACCACCCGCCGACGCTCGGCCCTCCGCGCTCCACCCCCTCTGCCAACGGCTACGTTGCCCGCGTCGAGCCACAGAAAACCTCCGATGTCCGACCACCGACTCGACGGACCGCTTCTGGACCACCAACGAGTGTCGACGGTGCCATGCGCGCGATGCAATGACTCCGTGAAACGCGGGAATCCTAAATTTTTCAGTAGGTCAGGGGCCACTGGAAAATTTAGGACGATTTTGCCTGGGGAATCCTAAATCTTTTAGGACTTGTCCTTACGCCGTTTTCACATTTTCGATCTCCGATTTCGTTTTAGGACTGTGTGCAACGAGGATGCAATCCTAAAAACAGGCATTTTTAGGAGTGTCTAACGAGACCCAGACTGTCACATTGTGCTGATTTTTCGATTTTTTTCTTGTTTTTCTTTGTGTGTGATATATATGTGCTTTAGGGTACGTCATGTGCACGATTTTGACATGCTTGGATCAATAATGAAAAACTTGGTATTTCATTGAATTCGTTGGATGCTTCATTTTAACTCCCACAGGGTTTTATAGTGTTTTTTTTGTTATTGGCCTCCCGTTAACCATATCTCGTGAATTGACCGACCAGACTTTCTTCCCCCTTCCCTTTTTGCATCTTTTTGAATTCTTGTTTCGGCAAACGGGATTTCTCATCCCTTCATACGATTGCTTGGGGCACCTTTAAGCCCAATCTTCCCTTTCTTTTTCCTTGCGCAATCTCACATCTCATTGGGCGCCATATGACACTCCTTTTGAAATTCTCGGGCAACAGGAAAAATTCCTAATGGTTCGAAAGGAAATTTAGGCCATTGACATGCCCTAAGAGCAATATCAGAAAAGAAAATAGCAAAAAAAAGAAAAAAAACAGTTGTGTTTCAGGCCGTCAGCCAATAGGGTGCCGCCACGATCCAGATTCTCGGCTGTAACGTCTCTCTACGCATGTGCCCTCTCCTCTCTGTGAAACGCGGATTCCTTGTGCACAAGGGACCTCGCGTGGTCCCTTGGGCAAAAGGAAGAAATGACTGCGGAAAGTCCGATTGCCCGAGGAATTTCCTTACGATACATAGGGTCTCGCTCAAGAACGTACCTCTTGAAAAGGTCTGACAGATAGTGACAGCTCTTGAAACATTTCACCATTTCAGGAGTGGTGTGACCGGGGCCTTACTTTGAGGTCTTTCCTCGAAGTGTCCTTCGGGACATCCGCAAGGATGACATGCATAAATTGAGAAATTGTCCAAAAAGAAAAAAAAGAAAAGGGATTTTCTCCTCTTTCCATCGACCTTCCCTTTCGGAATTTTCTCCTGTTTCCACTTACAATTCATTTCTCCAGGCTGGACGTTTCACTTTCCTCAGCTTGGAAGTGTCTCTGCAGGGTTTCCTTCGTCAAGTACTCTCTCCAAAAAGGTACAATGCATCATACTATAATCCTGGCCCGATTCGAAATCAAGAGCGTGCATTTCCATAGTAGCCTCAAAAGTGCTGGTAGGTGGAACCAGCCGTTTCATAAAGGGGGAATGCGCCGTACAAAATTTGAGAAGACGGGAAACTCTCCGAAGTAAATGGGTGGCGCAGAACTCTTAATTTTATTTTGCCTTGGGCACTGGGCGCGTAATAAATGTGGACATGGTTTCTCTGGAAGCAAAAAGGGAAAGAGATGATCATACTACCTCCTATTACTCCTAACATTTTTTATTTATTTTTTACTTTTTTTGGGAATAACAGTTTTTTCTTTGTTGTCGTAACAGTATTCCTTCATTTTTATTTGTAATTTCTTTCTTTCTTACAAAAGCCCATCTTTTGAAAAAAAAAACAACAAACAAAGGCAGGGAGCGACGGAGCGTTCCCAGTGTCCCTTACATGGTTTGTCGTGACCCTCACCAAGTGCGACGCAGTCACTCAGAACTTTTAATCACTCATAACAAATTCAGAGCAGCCTGTTCCTGGGGCCAAGTCCCGCTACCGGGCGTTTAGAGTTGGTTTCTAGTACACACAGGTTTCTGCCGTTTGATCTGCACATTTCGAGAGTGGTGTGGCGATGCCCTATATCCGGTAGATTGGGCACTCTGTTCAACAGTCGAACTCATCCTCGGAGCTCACCGATTTTCTCCTCCTGCAAGCGGCGTCATCTCCCCTGAGGTAAGCTTTAAATTTTTTAATGGATCGATTTCGTATTTCGTCTGGAGCAAACTGATATTCTCGGGTCTCTCTCTCTCTCTCTCTCTCTCTCTCTCTCTCTCTCTCTCTCTCTC